TCGCCAAGAAAAGAGATTTTTTGTTTAGGTTCACACAAAAACCTGTCCACAGATACTCATAATAGCATTACTCATAATAGCCCCAGAACGCTAACAGCCCAGATGTATGTCAACAGGTAACTGGTTAACAAGCTGGCCCATCCATCCTATGGACTACCACTCAGCAATAAAAAGGGATAAACTATTGATACAAGCCAAACTATTGATTCATCTCAGGATGAATCTCCAGGGAATTGTGCTGAGTGAAGAAAGCCAGTCCCAAAGGTTATACACAATATGATCCTCTTTACGTTACATCTTTGGGATGGAGAGGAGACTAGTTGATTTCCAGGGTGTAGAGTTGGAGTGGGGTGGGGAAGGGAGGGCTGTGTGAACACATGACTGCTGGAAGGGGCCCTGGAGCCTCAACTCCTTATCGCATAGACAAGGAGACTGGTGTCTGGAAGAGGTGTTGGTCGGGTGCAGAAGGAAGACCGGGGTCTCTGCCCCCTGCGCCATAAGTATGTTTGAAAATGCACTGCAAGGTCTGGTAGGTTCGGGTTTGAATCCCAGCCCTGCCCTTTGTTGGGTGACTTTGGGTGTGTGGATAAAGTGAAGGTTCCTGTGGCCAGGATTCTCACCTGGCCCTGGTCAGCTAGCTCACTACACACGTGTGGGCAATACGTTGCTATTGACTCTATATAAAGAGCTCTGCCCAGTCATCTGGGTGACACACGGCTGCAGGAGAGCAGAGACTGGAGTGGTGGCAGCGCCAAGGACGGAGACTGAGACTGCTGCGGGGGTGGGGAGGCCCAGAGGCAGAGACCAGCTTGCTGCATGCAGGCTTGCTCTGCACGGACAGGATTCTAGTGATTGGCCTGCCACCATGGGAATAAAGTTGGGTATAAACCCTTTCTCCCTGAAAACGTTCCGTTATCATTCCTCGGTAAACTTGAATCCATAGTAAACTTGCCCAGGGCTGAAACCCATTGACAAGACAGGGTGCCTGACCCCTCTGAGCCTTTGTTTCCACCCCTCTTAAGATGGAGATAACTATCTTGTGAGATTATCATTAGGATTATGACAACTTGTTTGCAAACTTAAATGCCACTCACGATGTAAGGCTCCTATTTCTATCAGAATAGTTCACATACTAAAACACGTGTAACTGAAATAAAAGCTTTCTGAAGGATATACCCTTGCCATACGTAATATGCTCAGTTTTCTATTTCATTGTTTAATAAAGCTGGTCATGGTCCCCAGATGCGATGCTGTGACCACGGGATTGGATGAAATAGACACAGTCCTGTGAGTAAATATCGAGACGTGCTTCTCCTCTTCATTTTGCTTCAGTGCCCCGTGGGTAGGCACTTGACCTGGCAGGGTTCCTGATACCTCCTCCCTAGAGATGAGGTCAGGGTGGTGCTCATCACAGAGCTTTCTCCTTTCCCCATGAGACTCCCTGCTTCTGGAGGGCAAAGACGACCTTGCTCACCATTCTGCCCCAGGACTGGCCTGGTGCCAGGCACGGAGGAGGCATGCAGGTGTGGAGTGCATGTGGGCAAGGCCCTCGGTCTGAGGGCTCAGGTGTGCTCTGCTGACCCGTGGGTCTCACAGGGTGCCCGTGTCGGCCCTTGCCCCTCGGGCCCTCGCAGGATGGAGTGGGCTCCTGTAGGGAAGCACCCAGACCAAGCGCCTCGTCTGGGCGGCTGCTGCGGTGTCCCTTCCACTCACACATCGAAGCCTGCAAGTGAGAGGGGTGGGATTGAGATGAACTTAAATTTACTGTGACTTAAAAAAAAAATCATTTGCAAAATTAGCAACTGTTTACTCACCTAGGGACTTTCAGCTGAGCTGCTGGTCCGGTTTTGTGGCCCTGGGGCGAGAGTCGCTGCCTTAGAACACAGGAAGCCTTTGTCCTGTCCCTGGGAGAACAGCTTTCTAAAACTGTTGCAAACTGCAGAAATCTGCAGCTAACAAGAACTACTGGCCTTAACCTGTGCTTGGAAAGGCGCTGGTCAGTCAGAGGAGACCAGAATCCAAGCACGGGTGCAGGAGGATTGTTTTCAAAATCTGAAGAGGAAAGTTTGGGTTATTTATTTGTTTGGCCAGTCATTTAAAAAACTGCTGACATTATTGTTTCCTGACCGACTCACTGTCTCTGGCCTGCTGCTCCATGCGTGAGGCCACTGTGTGTCTTCTGCGCTCCTAGAAGGAGTAAGGGGGCTTTAGTTCCTTGGGTTTCTGGGGGGTTGGGAGGAGGGTTAGCTATTAAAATTGATGCACATTATGAAGTTGGGTATGTTCCCCGGTTATATTTTGTTAGCATTTCTTTGGGGAAGGAAAAATGAAGACTTTCTTCTTGCTAGTAGGGAAAAAAGCATGTCCAGCCACCTTATTTTTTTTCAAAGACCGTTCTTGAAATTGGCAGAGTATTACTCTTCAGAGTTTCTCATATTGTAGCATGAATATTTTGTATAGCAAGCTCATTTTCCCCATAGCCTGAGTGGCTTCCTATTATGTAGGATGCGAAATGGATGGGAGCTGCTCCTGTGTGCGTGCGCCGAGCGCGTGTGCTAGAACTGAGCTGAGCTGAGCTTCGGAGGCAAGACGAAGCACTGTCGGCCAGCCTGCACCATTAACGGCAAATAGGACTGATTTTATTCAACGGTTTTCCTTTTTTACAGTAAAATGACTGTAGTTACCGTTAAATTGAACTTGATAGGTGTTCCCATCTGTCTCTCATTTGACCCTGTTCGTCGTGAAGACTGTGGAGAGGCACCGTTTGTGGAGCTGGACATCGTAAGCTTGTTGTGTGTGTGCCCATGCCCCTTACCTAACTGCGGGTTTTCATTTTCAGGCACCAAGTGGGAATGTTTCTGAAGGGAATGAAACTTTAAATCCTGCGTTTCATGTCGGGCTACAGCATTTGCTCAGAGGAGGGAGACAATTTGTGCTTCTTAAGAGTCCACCAACTCAGAGTTGAATCTGTATTTGAATTTAATTTCATTCTTCAGTGGTGTGGCTCCCAGCCGTCCATCTTTGGAATGATGGTGCATGCTCTTTTATTTCCAGTCTTTGTAAGCACCTCCACTTTTCAGCAGAGCAGCTGACCATTAGAAATGATAACCATATGTGGCATCTGTGACATGTACTTTGCCAACAAAAAGAAATTTCCTTTTTGGTGATGAGCACAGAATTTCAAATATCTTTTAATGAGGAGCTTCCTGAATGTTCTCGTGGATCTCATAAAGTTCTTTGTGATAGTGTTGCCCTTTACTCTTGTTTTCTGGCTGAAATATCTGAAGATCACCAGCCTTTGACATCTCTTCCAGACAGCGCAGCAGGCCAGGAGCCAAGGTCTGGCCACGGTGCCCAGTCTGGGTAGCTGGTGCCTCTCTGCTGTATGCTCGTCATTTCAAGGCACTTAAGTTCCTCTGTCTTGAGTATATTTTTTCCCCTTAAGAGAGAACTTTAGACAGTAAGCAGGGAAGCTGAGTGTCCCTTAGGTGGGAGCGGCTAACCAAATGCGAGGGCACTCTGGACATTCTTTGTCCACACGTTTTTTTCACGCCTGCTGCGTTGCGTGGTGGTCATACTTCTCTCAGCATCCAGGGGCTGAGTGTGTGACAAGGATTCTTCTCCTCATCTGCTGATAGTCCCGTTTGCACGTGGAGTGGGAATCTGAACGCTGCCTGTCCCAAGTAAGAGCATGTGTCATATTTGAACTGGAAGTGCAAAAAGAAGACTTTAAGATTCAATAAAAAACAGTTTTCTTGTTCCTGAGATAAGCAGATTAATAGTAAATAATGTCAATATTTTGGCTGCAGACCATTATCTTGCTATTGATCCAAGAGAAATATGTATTGACTCAGTAGCTTCGTTTACTTTTTGCTAACATTGTCTCTGTGTGCGTTTTCTTCTCCTTTTAAAATACCATAATCTGGTTTATTTTCCTTTGACTCCTGTCCAGTCAGAGAAGGACAGGGTTAAGTGGAAGCAGAAAGAAGAGCAATTGGAGCCCTGTATTTCAGATGTCAAACCATTTCACTCTTTGTTCTGAAGTTGATGTAACTGATCCTTCCCCACTTACATCGTACCTGTCCTCCTCACAGCTTTTCCCAGAGACATCCGTTTGGAATGCTCTTGTTAGCACATTGGAAGACTCACTCAGTTTCTTGTAACATGTTATGGTTTTATAATTTTTCATTGTCTGCTGACCCTATTTCCTGGGTTGCATTTTCCAAAAGAGAAACACCCAGAATCATTTTTGTTGATGGTGAAGGAGACACTCATCAGTAGCTGAAAAAGGAGAAAGTGGAGCACAAGCATAGCTAAAGTGGTTTTGTGGGAATGTGATTACAGAGTTGGTTTTCTTAATAAGAGGCTGTTTGGCACTGCTGTCTCTGTGAATTGGGCTTGAGAGGCAGTTGCTGCATCTTAGTCCACTACAGATGGACTGCTCTGGTGGGTCAGTGAGGCCCAAGGAGGGATGAGGCCACCTCTCTTTGAGGTGCTTATGCTCTTGGGAAGGTAGGAAGAAGGGGGGATGCCCCATGGGCAGCAGGAACAAACATGCGTGTTCTTAGTGACTACCGCTGCCCAGCTGTCCTTAACAATGCTTCTGAGCTAGGAGGTTAAACCTTCTCATTTGTTTTAAAAAGAGAAAGAGGGAACCCTCACCATCTTTGCATTTAGTTAGGATCCAGAGCAGGAGTGAGGTAGCAGGTGAGGGGGATTTGGGCAAGCGGGATTTTCTCCCAGGCCTCCCAGCGTGCAGACACACGGATCAATTTCTTACCCTGTGTTCAGCTGGCCGCTGGGTTAGAAACTGCCGATGAAGACGTCCCCTCCTGTTCGTATCATGTAACGCATTCATTGCAGCCACTGAGCCTAAATCACTGTTTGCTTTCTTCCTGCCTTTCTCTTTTCCCCTGAAATGGTAAGAACTCGTGTGGGGATGGAGTTAGTTTATCCGTGCTAATGCTTTGATTTTTCTTTTCTCTTTCTCTTTGCCGCAGTAGGTAACCAGTTAGGGGCCTTGGTACATCAAAGGTAAGCAGTGGGTTATGTTTTATTATTTATTGATCATTTCTAATTGTTTATTGATCCACCATCTGTACTAGAGTGTTAGAAAGTCAGAGGTTGAGAGTGTGAAAAACCATGGGCTAGATATCTTTAAGACTCAAGTCTTTTGTAGCCCTTTCCAAGGCAGTGTAAGCTCAGGGGATACGCTAACAGGAGGTATTGAAAATCAGCCATTGTGCGTAAACTTAAAAGACTTCTAGAATGTTGGAGCTGCTCTTTCTGCCCCCATGAATTTAATGTAAAAAGAGAGAATATGAGAACGTCCCTCCCAGTTTGATGACTTTCCCAGTGTTTTATGAATCCTTCACCCCTTCACTTGAGAAGCTGTCTGGAAGAATTGTGAGTTGTTGGACTTTTCACAAGATGAAGGTTTTGGTTTTCGAGGAGTCATGGGCTGGGGAGGCCAGAGGCTGGCTTCGTCTTCCTGCTGTGATGATTGGGACTTGCCCAAGAAGTTTGGGTGGGTGCCCAGTTGATTTCCTCCCTCCATTTCTCCACACAGTCTCCCCTTAAACATTGAGGACTTAGATACAAAGACCTCCGGGCTTTAGAAAGACGAGTCTGTAAGGTAGGGTGTTTGTGGTCACGATGTTATCCGTTCAAAGAGGATAAAATATTCAGGAAACTCTCCCAAAGCTTCTCTTCCCTACTGGGTGAAGTTTTGTGCTGTGGGTGTTACTGTAACATATCCCTAACCTTCACCAGCAGTGATACAGTTACCTCCTCATGTATTCTACCCAGATGTTCCAGAGTTTCTAGGAGTCACCAGGCATCAGTTATGCAAAAGATGTATCCTGGGTTTTGGTGGTGATGTGTCTTTGTTTCCTTTGTTTTTCAATGAATTAAAATAATTTAAATGAGGTTGTTGTCAGTATTGAATTAACTTTCCTATAAAGCCGAAATTAGGATTTTACTTTCCAAAATGTTTATACTTTGTACACTAGACCAGTTTATCCTTGCATTTAGAATGAAGATTTGTCTTCCTGGAAGCTCAGAATGTTTTGTCTTAATCCGTTTTTTCCTCAAAAGAGAAGCTGTGGAAATTGTTTGAAGGGCTCGGTAACTGCCTGAGTTCTGTGATGTTTTGTGCTATGATAGTGTTGAACCCCTCCTAGTAAATTCCCCAGTAATATGTTCTGAGAACAGCCAGTTTGTGCTGCATATGCCAGAAGGAGCGCTGTTACCCTTGCCACTGGGAGCGCCCACCTCCCACCAGGGCCCTGAGGCCACTGCAGGCTGGGAGCTCAGCATCCAGGTCTTCAGTGTCACTGGTTAGGAAGCCTGAATTGTCTGGTTTGGGGGCTAACATGAATACCCCACGAGGAAGGGAAAATCCCGGCATGCACGTAAACCTGAGGAGGCGGGCTCCGTGAGAAGGAGACCCTGCTCCCGTCGGAAGGTGACCGCAGCAAGTGCTGTCTCAGCCGTCACATCTCTTCTGAGTGTGGCTCTTTGCCGAGAAACGCGACTTCACTCTGCCCTTTCTGGGGTCGGTAGAAAGCCAGCTGCACGAAAGGTTTTAAAATGCTTACTGTTTTCTTTTCCTTGAACTATTTGCATTTAGCTTCCTCCTAAGGTAAATGTTTAGATTTAATTGCTTTCTGGGGTGTTGGGCAGATTGGGTATTGTCCACAATGCACTCTATGGCAAATTTGAAGGTTTGTTTGCAAGAGCCAGTGCAGTAGTTGTTTCTTAAAAAGAAAGAAAAGCACATAATGGATGGGATAACATTTAACAGAACTACCTTGCAGAGTAAGTGAGGTAATTATTCTTTCCTGGTCAACACTGATTAGACCTCCGTTGGATATACTGGTTCCATTTGGGGCATCTCACCCTAACAGACAAAGATAATTAGAGGGAGACCAGAAAGCAATAAAAAGATTGGGAAACAAGGAGTATGGAAGGAGAGTTGAGTATCTATTCATCTGGAGAGGAGCCCAGAATAGAAGCCTAAACACCACCAGCCTCAGTAAGTGTTAGCAAGACTGAAAGTTAGCCGTGTGAAGAAAAGGCAGTTGGTGGTAGACTTGGTGGTTGAATGAAAAACCAGAGGCTTCTTCCTCTGGCACCAGGAGAGGGAGGCTCGGCTCTTCTCAAGGAGCCATTGGCCAAAGGGTTCATTAGGTGATGCTCTTTGTAGGTCGTTTTGAACTTGGCCAAACTGACATGGTTTAGTTTAAGCCTTTATCTTCCAGTGTTGCTAGTATGGGAGGTTTGGGGAACTGAAAGGGGCTGCTGAATTCTTCCTTCTATAAAATTTTCCAAATGTTCTTTGTTTTTAGGGCAGTAATAACAGAAGAATTTAAAGTGCCTGATAAAATGGTTGGATTTAGTAAGTATTCATATTATTCATTTTGTCCCTAATTCCTGTCTTTTCCATTTTAATTTTTCTGAGTGTGAGTGTCACCTGTAGTAGCAAGCCTTGCACACTGTTCCCTGGAGCCCTGGGGTGCCGCAGAGCTCCCTCCAGACTGAGGGAGAGAACAGGACGTGGGCCCCAGGTCCCTTCCCCTCCCCCAGCTCTCCTCACTTCAGATAGAGTATCCTCTGTCTGCTGTGTTTCACGGACAGTTTCTGTGGCCTTACAGGAAGCCTACCTGATTCTCCATGCTGTGAGCCCAGAGTAAATGTTTGTTGAATTAATTAAGTCATTCATGCATGGTTAGATATTGAATGGGGAGCATATTCTGACCCTGTTCAATTCGTTTCAGTTATTGGCAGGGGAGGTGAGCAGATTTCACGGATTCAGGCAGAATCTGGTTGCAAAATTCAGATTGCTTCAGGTAAGGGCTTTTTTTTTCATGGATCTCAGTTTGGTAGAAATCGGTGTTTTGCAAAGTTTTCCAGATTCCGGTACCTTTGCTCATTACGTAGAGGTTTAGGGGCTTGGGTAAGTATACATGATTGCTGTTTTTCCTGCATTTCTGAGCTGGATTCCCAGAATAGAACAAGTAAAACCAGAGCAGAAGCAGGACAACCCATCTGGCCTCTCAGGGAGACCCTCTGCTGTGCTGTGGCCCAGTGGGGTCCCTGCCAACACCTGCTGCCCTAGGACCTCTGTTTTCTGCACCAGAATGTTATGCCAGACGTAGTGGGGCCTGGCAGAGTCCTGTGGCTTTGGGGTTGCTCCTGAGGACTGCTTGCCAGCTCCCTGGATTAGACTGCCACTGCCCTCTGTGGCAAAAGGCCCACTAGGGATTAGCACATGTTAAACACAGTTTAGGACCTCTCCCAGCTGGTTCCGTTTTGACTGTGTGATGTGGAGAGAGACACTGAGGAAGAAGAGTTTGTTTTATTTATCGTTTTATCATCTAATTTGAGTTTGACCTCTTTTCATAGTGGAGAAAGGGGGTTTGGAAGATATTCAGCTATAGAAATGTTTGTCATTTTAAAGGATACTTGCTATATGCAGTGTCTTGAAGGCCAAAACTGCTGTTAGCTATTTATTTTTTTAAGTAAGAATATTAAGAGACAGCTTTTTTAGGAACAAAGTAAAGTGTCATGTATTGTTGGCACGTAAGATTTTCCTCTCTTGTCTGTGGCCTGGAATCAGTTCTACATAGATGTCACTGATCGCTTGGGATATTTGTACAATAACTGGTAATAACCCTGGTGTGAAATACTATTAAATTCCTCACTAATGTGCCTCAGAGCCCTTTGCAAGCCAGGGACCCTTAAACTACTCTGCAAATGGAGAAACTGAGGAACAGTGGGCTCAGTGACTGAAGCACTTATTTTAGCACACATGTGGCTCAGAAACAGAGCTGAGACTGGTCATCAGGGCCAGCTTAGGAACCTCTGCTGCGCGCTCCCAGCTTCCCCCACAGGACTTGTTTCTACTTTGAGGGTGGAGTTACCAGCTCAGTGTTGTCTCCACAAGTGGAAGCAAACTGTCTTTTTTCTGGGAGCTGGAGCTTCTGTGGGGCCCGTGTAGCAACCAGTCCAGAGAGACGGTGTGCACGTGCACCCAGAGGCAGAGGTGCACCATTGCCTGATGCCCACCAACACACCTCACCTTCTTGATTCTTCTTATAGAGAGTTCTGGGATTCCAGAGAGGCCCTGTGTACTTACCGGAACCCCAGAAAGTATTGAGTAAGTTTATTTTATTTACTTTTTCCTTTCACTCTTTTCCTCCCTCCCCAAATGGGGAGAAACGGAAGGGCAAAACTGTTACTGAACACTGTCAACCCGTGCTGCAGTCTGGCCACAAAGGCAGATGCTTCTGTAGAGAAGGATCTGGGAGGTTGCCTCGCCCAGGGAGTTTTCTGTTACTTTAAACAAATAAGGTATCACCTTTTTTTTTTAACCCTACAGAATTTCTCACAGCTGTCATAACATGTACTTCGTGAACCAAGTTCTCAAAGAGTGTACGTTCACCCTGCCTGAATGCTCTAATCAGCTTGCTTCCTTGTTAATACCTCCTGTATCTGATCGGGTCTCGATTAGTAAGCCTGTCACTTTGTGAACCACTGGGGATCCTGGTACCAGGCATTTTGCCTGGGGCTGATCCCAGGGCCCTTCAGATATTTGAGAACCGAGTGAATTGAATCTTCCTGGCTGTTGCTCTACTCAGAGGGCCATACAGACAGACCAGAGGGTGTCTTGACTCTCAGGGCCTGTGCAGGCTTAGGACTAGCACAGCTTTCCTGTTGTGGTATATGCGTGCTCAGAGCCTTGTACCAGACGCAGCTTCATAAACCCAGGAACCTCCTGGGGGAAGGGGATGTGCTAACTTAGAGTCTGCTAGCTTTCCTCCTCCAATCTACGGAGCAGCATTGCATTTGGGGGCAGGGGTGCTAAGATTATGTCTGGCTCAATAGATAGAGCTGTTTTATTGTTTCCATTTCTCAGGGAGTCTAGATGAGTTTAAATTCTCTTATTCTACCATAACACTGTAAGCAGTGAACCAGAATAATATTGCTGGCAGGTGTGCATTATAGGGCAAGCGAGATGGTTTTGCTGGAGTCGAGGCATTTTTCTTCCAACACAGGTTAATCTAGTACACAAGCAAAATATTAAAAAGCTGCTGTAACTGAGAAGATCCGCAAGGCTGGTTCTCTACACAAAGGCTCAAGACTGCAAAAACATCTGTGTCCTGCCTTTCTCTCCATTCTTCTCTTCTAACCATTCCTGCTTTCTCTTCTCCCCGAGCAGTCTGGGCAATGGGATTATAACTTCAGGAAGAAATAATTTTATTTTCTTCAGTGAGCAGTACAGCCAGCCTATTCAGTAGCTGAGTTCTTCCCTATTAGAGGACCCAGCAAATAGATTGTGCATGGTGATTTAAAGAGTAAATACTGCAAGTAATGGCCAGGGGGATTCTGGTGCAGAAAAGGAAACTGGCCTACCAGGTGATCTAGGTAGGCTGGGTTGTATGCTTTCAACATTGTAGTTTCCCTCCCCTGCCTCCCAGTAAGTCAGCACAAAATAGCGTTACATGTGGAATGTGGGGGCCTGAAAATCTGACGTGAAAAGCACGAAACAGGTGTCTGTGACTGTGCAGTCGCACCAGGGCGCTGCCTCCTGCTGTTCCCGCCCCTTGAAACTGAACGTGTGGTTTGTAGCCTCAGCTAAAAAGTCATAGAGAGGTCCGGTCGGTTATGGAGAAGGAATTTGGAGCTTGGGAATTCAGACAATGACTACTAATCCTGGCTTGCTTTCTTCCCATCTTTCTCATTGCTCTCTCCTGTCCTTACTTAACACGTCTGTTGAGTGTGTACTCTGTGAGAAGGGCTTATGCTGGACTGGGGACCAGAGAGGTGCAAAGGGTGAGAGAGGTGGTCTCTGCCGCCTGAGTGGCTGACCTTCTCATAGGAGACGGGACACGTGTGTGGAGTGAGCACAGGACACACGCTCGAGCGGAGGGTGGACTTGAGAGGCAGCTGTGCTGGAGCCTGGTGTCGTGGTGTGTGTTGCTTTTAAGTTCCAGCCCAGTGGTGTGGCGGCTGGCAGAGACCTCCCGGGTGTGGGGGCAGGAGCTGGAGCTGGATGGAGGGCTGCCCGGATTCCTTCACGTTTCCCCTGGTGCTGTTTCCCTCTCGTGAGTACCTGGCACATTGATTTAACGCTGGTTCTCGTACGGTTCTTTCCCCCGCTGAAGACAAGCCAAACGGCTCCTGGGGCAGATTGTGGACCGCTGTCGGAACGGGCCTGGTTTCCATAACGACACAGACGGCAACAGCACTGTCCAGGAGATTCTCATCCCCGCGTCCAAAGTGGGTCTGGTCATCGGCAAAGGCGGGGAGACGATAAAGCAGCTGCAGGTAGGTGAGCCTTAGCAGAGCAGCCCTTGCCCGGCCTTCCCGGTTCGGGAGTGCGCGCCCTCCCTGACTACCTCGGCCGGCTGGGGGCTGTGCTGCCACGGGGCGAACTCCCTTCTGAGACCCCACCCAGGGCCTTCCTCGCTCTTCCACGTGACAGGTATTCTCTGGGCATTTAGCATGGCCCGGCCTGATGCCAAGTCTTGGGCCTGTGAACTTGCGAGAGCCATCATTGCAGTGAAGCTGTTAGGATTGTTTTTACCATCAATTGACATCTCAGACAAAACCATGTCCAGAGCCAGGGGCTCTGAGCCAGCACTTGCCATGGCTGGCTGTGCAAGCTGAGGTCGTTCACATGCTTTGTGAGGGCTCGGGGTCCTCGTCTGTGAAAGCAGGGAAGTATTGCCTCACCACTGCAGTAGAGCTTCAGTAATAACCCATTGTGTTGCATTTATGTAAGACCCTTAGCACAGAGCCTGTCACTGGGTGCATGCTCCATGACCATCAGCTGCTTTTAGCTCCAGAAGCCCTTTCCTGAGACATGTGAGGCCAGATGTGGTACAGAATTAACATCCCCTGCAAGCTCTGGGGCCACCCCCAGTAATCAAATGCATATGACCATAGCTTTACATAGGAATAGGTGCACTCAGTGGGAGAAGGGCTAGAAATGGGCTTCATGGGTTCAAGTTAGTTTTGCCGCCTGGTTAGTTATGAAGGCACTTATAACCTCAGCTGTGGGGCCCCGGTAGTTGCAGGTCAGGGTGGGGACTGCCCAGTGTCCCAGCCTGGTCCTCAGCCTGCAGCAGACACTCTGGTGTGGACTCTTGTGTGCAGGGTTTGGGATCTCAGCACCCAAGTTTTGGTGTCTCCCACCCCATCACCCTGGGTCCCCAGGCAGCTCACTCACAGCCCTCTTACCACTTCCCCCTCCTGGCTGTGCGCAAGCTCTGACCAGAGGGCGTTAGAGCACTTCTGCCCAGTGCTTCATAAAAATCACTCATTGATATTTAGATACCCTAGCGCCTGGGAAAGAGGACAGTCTTGGGGAGCATTTTTCCTTAGCGCACTTGGAAGCTCAGCACGGCCTGTGTCAGCACTCAGAGGGCAGCGCCTGGTGGGAGGTGGGACTCAGCTCGCCCCCGTGATTCCTGGGCCATGGCAGTGAGGGCCCTGCCGGTGTGTGCATCCCCACAGGAGCGGACCGGTGTGAAAATGGTCATGATCCAGGATGGCCCGTTGCCTACGGGAGCAGACAAACCTCTTCGAATCACCGGAGACCCGTTTAAAGTACAGGTAGGAAGGAAACTGAGGACCGGGCAGGTCCTGGGTGTGGGGGCATCTATAGTAGTAACTTGCGGCGCCTCTCTGTCACTCAGGAAATCATAAACTGGATGTTCCTTTATTGAAAGTAAGCCGTTTTCCCAAACTGGGTGTGATGGTGAAAAGAATATAGGGTTGTCCTGCCAAACACCAGGGCCCCAACTACCTGTGGCTATTTAAACGAATTCGGATTTAAGTACAGGTTGAGTTTTCTCATTTTCACTGGCCATATTTTGAGTGCTCCAAGAGCCACACGTGGAGGGTGGCAGCCATCATGGACGGTGCACATACAGAGCATTTCCATAAACGAAGGTGGTGGTAGACGGTGCAGCATGGATCAGGCACAGTTTCTGACCTGTTACAGTATTTTGTTATGTTGTTTGTTTGGATATGGTCAGCTCAGATACAGGCTCTGTTTGGCTTTTATTTTTTTTGGCTTGTTTTCTTTCTCTTGGGCCATTTTTGCAGGGCTGGGAGGTTAGCTCGAAACAGCACATGTGTGTCCTCATAGCAAGTGTCCTATGCCCTGAGCCCCTGGCCACAGAGGTCAGCCCTGGTTGCCAACAGCAGTAAGAGGCCCAGTTCTAAATCACCTGGGTGGCTCTACCCTCCAGCTCTTACTATTAGTAGGAATGTGAGTGGGCTGTGGGTGTACAAGGTTGTGTCTGTTCCCTTGAAATGGGAATGCTCTTTTCCCTGCCTGCTGCAGCCGGCCATGCCTTTGCTGCATTTAGAGTAGGTCAAGGGTGACGCCTTGGTGAGCCAGTCCTCAGCAGCAGCAGTTCCTCTGTGGGTTCCTCCTTTGGGCTTTGACCTAGTGGGCATTACCAGTCTCCAGATATTTCCCCCAATTCTTAACACTGTTTTCAGTTTAACTCAGATTGATGTCATTGGTAGTTTTTTTGGTCAAGGTACATTTGTAAAATAATGGTTTTAAAACTGGATTGAGGGCCAGTGATTAAATTGTTCTTTCCGTTGGCTCTGGTCAGTTGTGCAGCTCCGCCTCCACCCCTGAGGCCAGGGTCGCCCAGGTGCCTTCCTCCCCAGAGTTTCTAACCACTTTACAATGTTAACAGGTGGGCTTTTAAAAATCAGATTGCATCTAATCTTTCCCACATGGCTCATCCCCAGCTTGTGGACTCCACTGCTGTGATCTTGTAGAACTCTCTGGAAGGAACTGGAGATGCAGAGCAGGCCTGCTGGCGAGCTGTGCTGGGCACCAGAACACCTGCCTCCCATCAGCCCTTCCTGCCTGCCTTCTCTGTTGAAATCTTTGATTCTGTCTTTTGTAGAAAAGATACCTGAACAAACAGCTTATTTGATTGGGGTTTCATGAATTTGCAGGCAAATCATTTTAACAAAAGGTTTTTAGTATTTTTTTATTTTAGAACTATGTGCGTGACACATTTTTTATCTGTGAAAAGCTATTTGCTATATTCAGGGTAAATTGTCGTGTTTTCCCTCCCTACCTCTCATTATGAAAAATTTAAACATGAAGAAAAGGAACAGTGGATACCTGAGCCCCTCACCCTACCTCCTTTTGCTGTGTGTCTGTGGCACCACTGAACAGAGCCTAAGGAAAGAAGCATTTAATCACTGGCCCTCAGTCTTGTTTTAAACCATTACCTTACATATGTACCTTGACAAAAACACATCAGAAACTTTTAATTTTTTTTGCTTTATCGTGTAAGTAGGTGGCAGGTGTTATTGACCCGCCATCCCTGAATCTTACAGCATGTATCTCCTAAGAACTAATTTATGCAAAACCAGGTCTACAAAAATGATAGTGATCCCGTAACAGCATCTTATAGCCAGTCCACATTCAGTTTCCCAAATGTCCTAATAAGATTTCATTGCTGTTCTGGGTATTTGTGTTTGTTTGTTTGTTTTTGTTCGATTTGGTTTTTCCGGAACCAGGACTCGGTCTGGGTTCCCTCTTTACCTTGAGTCACTATGTACAGTTGAACTTTAGTGCAGATTCTCCTGTGGGGCTGGTACTGGTGCAGGCAGGAGGTGCTGACTGGTGGATTCTTTGAGGAGAGGATGCTGAATGGCTGGGGGGTGCCGGTCAGGTCTGGGGGGCTCTTGCCGGCTAGTAATCGGGATGTTTGGTCTCTGAGTGCAGGAAGGTATTTTCGGGCGTCCGGGCTTGCCGTTCGCCTTTGCCTCGCTGGAGCTCCCTCTACGATGGAGGTCTTGGTAGTATTTCCTCTCATGGAACATGGAACCTGCCCCCAGGAGCTCTCAGAAACCACACCCCCTTCACACACACTCAAAAGAAACTATGTGCTGAAACCCCTCAAGGTGATAGTAGTCACGTTCTTACCACACAAACCTGCTAATCCATCTGTGGCTTAAAAGAGGATGATGACCCGTATCTGGGCATTTTGGGCAAATGTAAAGAACATGCATTTAAGGTTTGATCTATACGGTCTGCACTAGCAGCCTACCCCTGCTCTATATTATGTAAAAAGTGAGTCCTCCCACGGTTGAGCACCTTCTGAGTCTTCAAGCCCAACCTAAGAGGATTCGATCTTGAAATTTAACCTGGCATCATGTCTTTTTTCAGGATTTTGTTTTCCATAATGCCTTTTATCTGTGTTTATACAGCAAGCAAGAGAAATGGTATTAGAGATTATCCGAGAAAAAGATCAAGCTGACTTCCGAGGTGTGCGCGGCGACTTCGGCTCCCGCGTGGGAGGAGGCAGTATAGAGGTATACTTGGATCACGTGTTAGCAGGCAAATGAGATTAGGTCAAGTTTGTGGGTCACACTTCTAATAGCTCTTTAACCTTAAGCAAGTTACTTATCTTCCGTCTCATCTGCAAAGCCTTACAGTGTGCTCACTTCCTGGGAACCTGGGGAAGGACTGGGGGTCCTGTGGTGATAGGAGCCGGCTGCGTGTGTAGCAGGGAATGGGGCCATTCACCCTGGTTTGGGGGTTTTATGTGAAAGCTTATCCCACTGCCCAGGTGAAGACCAAAGTCCAGGTATTCTTTGTGATCTATTGTGATTGTATCAAACTTGGAAGCCTGACTTATTGATGAGGTGGAATGGGATCAGAACTTATCCTTTAGAGTGAAATTTTCATATATGCTGCATGGAGGGACCTTGAAAACATTAGGCTTTGTAAAAGAAACCAGGTACAGAAAGACAAATACTGTAAGGTTCCACGTATGTGAAGGTCCCTCGAGGGGCCTATTCAAAGAGACAGAAAGTACAGGAGAGGTTCCCAGGGCTGGGGATGGGGAGTCACTGTTTAGTGGATGTGGAGCTTGTATGGGGGGTGATAGAAAGGTTTTGGGGTGTAGGTATCTGTGATGGTTATATAGCATTGTGAATGTATTGAAGCCACCAAATTGTATACTTTATAATGACTTAAATGGTTAAATACTACCTTCTGTTTGTTTTATCACAGTGAAAAAAAGTGGGAGGAAAAAAATTTTAAAGGACCTCTAGTATAATCAGTGTGTATGGTATATTTATGCCTATTTCATAGAATTTGGAAGATAAATTTGCCATTTTCCTCTTTAATCTGTAAGGTTTATTCTTGTGTTGTTTCATTTTTATAACAATTTCCATCAAATCTCAGACTTATTGGGTACATTTAGTGGGCAGGAATGCAACCATCAACCATAAGAGGAAAATAAAATACATTTTATTATGTCATTTCCAGAAAGGCACTGCAAATAAAAATCAAGTTGTTTAAAAGAAAAAAAAAATCTCCTTGACGAAAAGACAGATTTGCAAAAAGCTCAAATGAGGTTTTGTTTCTCTGTGCCCAGGTGTCTGTGCCTAGGTTTGCTGTTGGGATTGTAATAGGAAGAAATGGGGAAATGATCAAAAAGATCCAGAATGACGCTGGAGTCAGGATTCAGTTCAAACCAGGTTGGTTTTAATGACTCTCAAAAACGCTTAGTGTCATGAAGAATTATAAAACACCCAAACGAGAAAGGACTTTTTGATGAGCTCATTTATGCATCCTCTCCCCTACCCCTCTGCAGTTCCTGGTGCAACATTTTATCACCAAATTACCAGTCTAGGTTTCTCCTCTGGCTGTTCATGTCTTTGCTTGGAACTGGCCTGGTCACCCTGTTTGTGCCAGAACGCCCTAGCCCAGGTAGCCCAGGAGTTTCTAGGTGTACTGAGTTCAGTTGAATTCAGTGAGTACTGACATGGACTGGGCAAAAAGGTGCAGCCATACTCACTTCCCTGTCCGAAAGATTTCCCGAATATTATGGTGATGGTCTTATTACCCCTTTGGCGCTGGTAGGAATGCTGACTGCACATAAGCTTGACTTTTGCTTCCTTGTAAGTTTTGTTTTTCCTAATGGCATCTCTTACTTGGTTCCGCAGACGACGGTATTAGTCCAGAGAGAGCTGCACAGGTCATGGGACCCCCAGATCGATGTCAGCATGCGGCACATGTCATCAATGAGCTTATTCTTACGGCACAGGTGGGTCCAGCTCCCCAGAGTTCAGATGTCTCACACACAGAAGCAGCAAGTGCCACACACACGGCGCTTGGGGCAGCAGTCACCCCTCAAGTCACATTATCAGACACCAGTGCTCTTGTCAGTTGTCGGCCTTTCTGCATCTGCCTCCTTCCCGCCTTCATATTTTTGCTGCTACTATATTGCTCTCCTTCCTTTATTATTCCAGAAACTAGATTTCATTTCCACACCAAGTTCCTGATTGTGTAAACTGTTTGCAGAAATACAGTGCAGATTGCCAAGGTTCAGACAATTGAGTGTTGTACCTAATATAGAACTGTATTAAGTGCAAAACAGCAGCAGACTCACAGAACCCAAGAATGGACTAACAGTTACCAAAGGGAAAGGGACTGGAGATGGTGGGTGGGAAGGAAGGGAGAAGGGGGAAAAAGGGGCATTACGATTAGCAGACATAATGTACAGGGGGCACGGGGAGGGCTGTACAATACAGCGAAGACAAGTAGTGATTCTACAGCATCTTACTATGCTGATGGACAGTGACTGTAACGGGGTAAGTGGTGGGGACTTGATGATGGGGGAGTCTAGTAACCATAATGTTGCTCATGTAATTGTAGATTAATGATACCAAAGTAAATAAATAAATAAATAAATAAAAACTGTATTAAGTGAAATCTAACCTTAGTGTTAGAAAACCTTTCAGGATCTTCCAGAGCCTTAAAGCCACATTCATGCACTGGCTCCTGAGCACGTCCTCAGAATATGAGTTAGCTTGTGTGCAAGTTAACACCTCTACCTAACCCCACTGTAAATTGCTCTGTGGAACTGCCATGACCCATGGCACATTGGCGTGTCCCCCAGGTTTGTGGGACTGAGAAACAGTTTGAGACAACTGCAGCTAAGAAAGAATCCAGGAATTGTCATCCCAGCCTTGCCATTATTCCTGTGACTTGGGACAGGCCTCAGTACCTCTAAGCCTAGTTTTCTCAGCAGTAGACTGAAGGGTTTACACCAGGTGGTTTTCCCACGTAATCCCCCATCTGAATCAGCATGTCTGAGAGGGACTTGAATTTCAGCAATAGGGTCCCAGGCAAGTCTTAGGGTTCGGCAAGTTTAGAAAAAAATCACTGATCCTAATATCCTTTTCAGTGAAAGAGTTTATGCACCCAGAACTGCAAGGCTGTGCAATGAGTGGGAGACTCTTGTCTTTGAGAATCTGGAGCATGCACAGAAAGCTGGCTGTGCGTGTGTGTGCACGCTTATGTGTTTCAGCATAAATCCCTAAAATTACCTTGTTTACTTCTCATTTGTCTCTCATAAAAGCGGAGTGCAGGAGAAAAGCACTCCAATCCCCTCAGCTTTCTGCTGGTTGGGATTCTGGGTAAACATTTCAATTTACTCTTATGCGACATGAGCAGGTTTTGCCAGACATTCCTCCACTGTGCTGAGTGTGTGCTCAGCTCCCTTCCACGAAGGAGTTCTCAGCCGGACCAGGTTTGCCCTCAACATTTAAAAGATCTTAAATGCTGCAGCTCCAAAGTGGCTCATAGGACAAAGGCTGGAATGAGATTCGTTGCCCTCAAGGGAAAGGAATCCTCTGTATCAGGTGTTGCACGTGGGCTTGCTGTCTGCTGGGGGGAACAGTGTGAGAGGGAGTCACAGACCGTTCCATCCCCAGCCCACAGGCTGAGGCACCCGGCCTTTTCCCTCCCTCTCCTGGGAGGGCAGGACCACCAGGTATTCTTTAAGATCCTTTTATCCTTGTTCGTGTTAGTTGGACTTTGAAGTGCTCTGCCTTCTACTGTAGGTTCTGAATTGTCTGCAGAGCAGCCTGTCTGGGAAGGGTCAGAGGCCCACATGGCCACTCAAGTGTCATTTGCAAATGCCCACAACTCTTCAGCATCTACTGTCCGGCTTCAGGCAGGCCAAGCGTGTGTTAGCCACATGAAGGGCAGCCTCTGAGTTGAGAAGAAAACCATTTCCTGCTCTCTGTGGACTAGGGCCCAGTAGTTAAAATTCAGTGGAAGAGAACATTGGGCTTCAGACTGAGGAGTTTATATCTGACTGCCTGTTTTAGTTGGGCGTATTTGTGCTGTTTATGTAACCGCATGCATTTATCTGCACGCATCCTCCTTGAATGTGCCTGTGATTTGTGTTAATGCTGGTTTTAAAGAACACTTCAGAGTCTGAAATGTGGAAAGGTGCTCTGGCTGTAATGTGTGGCATTGATTACACCCTGTCACTTAACCTCCTCCCTGGAGATGAAAAGTGGCACTGGTGGCAGGGGCAGAAATCATCACCTGAGCTTTGCTTCCTTCCCAGGAAAGAGATGGCTTCGGAGGCCTCGCGGTAGCCAGAGGAAGAGGCCGTGGCCGCGGTGACTGGAGCGTGGGAGCCCCTGGCGGCATCCAGGAGATAACATACACAGTGCCAGCAGACAAATGCGGCCTTGTCATAGGCAAAGGTAAGAGGCAGCTGCCAGGGTGAACCCCTCCGGCTATTCACCTGAGAGCAGTCAGGCCATGTGGGTACGCCCAGAGCCTGAAGTGAGGTCTCTTGGCTGCACTGCACCAGCTAACGGTGCCAGGTCTATGGCATCAGCCACCTTCTGCAGGGGCCTGCTTTGCATGAGTCCTCTCGTGAAGGGGGGCAGAGCCAGTTCATTATCATTTATGAACAAACCATAACTCAGGCCCCGTTGCCTGTTGAAGCAGCTTAGGTTGTTGAAACACTCCCTGCACAAGATGAGGGGCCTCTGAATGTTTGTGGATCAACTGATTAGTCATTACCTCACCTCCAGGGGACTTACGGAAACCGATCACTTAATTTTCTCAAGTGAAGATGCTTTCTGACAAGTGTGTCACTTTTTTTCCCTTACAGGATTTGGGTATGTGGTCTTTATTGGCACAACGTGTGAAAATGGTTTTTATCCTTTCAACACATATACCATAAGTAACAGACACCCTGTGGAGGGAAATAGAAATTGCTTTGTTAGCTGTTCCTATGCATTTTTGGGAACATGAAGTAGAACCCTTGTTTGTGCCTAATGTGGCCCCTTCCCGTACATCAGTGGGAAGCCACGGAGAGAGCAGGAAGGTTTCTAGGCCCTAGCGTTGCCGCATCGCACTGGCCTGGGGCCTGGGGCCTAGGAGGGGCCGCTGAGAGCAGGGCGGTGGCTCAGCTTCCCTGTGCACCCCGAGCGAAGCCTCATTGCCAGCCGGAAACATGCCTGGCATTGGGTTTTGTATTTGCCCTCATGTGAATTTGGTAGCATATGGAGACAATAAGTAGAGCTTCTCTCCAGAGCTTCTCCAGTTTCTGTGATTACCAGACACCTCGAGCTGTTGGAGAAGTGCTAGTATTCCAGAGAACATGATTTGGGAGTGTCTCACCAGCAGAAGCCTGCGGCTGCCATTGTACCTCCTCAGGAGCTGGTGCAGGTGCAGACCCCCCGTGACCCTCTCATTCACCTCCCAGTGTCTGCATTTGGCCCTGCCCAAGGGCGGTGTGCACTTTCAAGCATTTATCTCCAGGATAATGTGTTTCCTTTTAGATTATTAACCTCTCAGAGAGATAGGAACAGTGTGGGTTGGTTTGATGTTTCTGACAGGGCATACATGCTGACAAGTGGACATGTGGTGGAAGTTAGCTGCCGGGACACCGGGGTTAAGCCCAGCACATTGCCCAGACTGCCAGTTTGACTGCTGTGAGTTTAAACTGGGTGATGCCTGTAGGTTGAGGGTCTAGATCTAGGTTTCTGTGCCTTTGAAAACTGCTTTGTCCCTAAGCTTTTCCTGTGACTGTGTGTCGTCCTGGCTGCCCTCCCTGTGACACTTCCTCATAGTTGGTGGAAGTTTGGTGTTCATAGGACAGTCCCTTGTAGTTTTTGTCATCTACCACGTCATCCTGAGTGATTCCCAGAGGAAAGTGACAGCAGAGTCAAGCAGTGACTGTGCTGGTGCCCTAGTAGCAGCCTTGAGGAGCCCAGTGAAAGCACGTGGGCTGGGGAGCAGGGCTGGTTATGAGATGTTCCTCCTCCCCGGGCAAGACACAACGTGTGGGTGAGCGAGACGGGAGAGGGAGCCACACACAGTCAGGCCCTGCACACACACACACCCCCAGCACTTGGACAGACGCTGTACCTCCCTGGGCCCCTGCTGGATTTCCATGATAAACACGGTGATAGTGACAGATAGTGCTGCCGCCCTGCTCTTGTCAGCCAGGCCTTTTAGCAGGTTTGATTAATTGCTTTACGATTTCACGACCAGCCGGGGGACCGCTGGTGGGTCACTTCTGCCCCCCATCAGATGGAAGAATGGAGCAGGCTGCTGAATGAGTCTATAGACAGTCACCATGTGCCAAGCTGGTGACCTCATTTTGAAGGAAGATGAACTTAAATTAACTCCTTCTGGCCCCATGTGGTTTTGTGGTGCCTCGTCACCTTAATTAGCATGCTCCCAAGGCCTCAAGGAAGAGGGCCTGTGGGGCTGCGGGTGCGAGTGCTGGGGGGCCTGCAGGGTTCGCATGCGCCCTCTTGCTAGTGCTCTTGCCTCCAGACCCAAGTGGCATCTGGCGGAGGCGGTAGGTGGGGGGATCCCTGCAGGTGCTGGGTGAGAGGTAGGAAGGTGTCCGACTACTGTTTGCTCTTTGTTACTCCCTAAAAACACTTGCTTAGGAGCAAAGCTACCTACTTTTCAGGGTGTGAAGAAGGTAAAACTCGATTGACCTATGAGTAAAGAGTAGTCAGTCCTAAGAGGCCTGGGAAGGGCTTGCACCTGCCTGGAGGCAAAGCGAAGCTGCCGAAGACCTTCCGCATCAGCCTTTGCTCCTGAAACAGCAGGTTTGCTGCAAGGAGGAACCACAGGGACTCTTTCCTTCAACTGTAGCAGGACTTCAAAAAAATCATGCTCACCACGCATCCGTCTGCTGAGTTGTTCTTTGTTTTAATTTGCTTTTAAATTAAAAAAACCCTTCACCTACATTCTGCATAAGCCAGCATTGAACAGAGCTTTCTCTAAATGCCACCAGCCTCCTGGTGCCCTTCCCACAGTGTGGAGCCGCTCGTGCGGCCGTCAGGAAGGGCTGCCGGGCCTGGCTGCAGCTCTGTCCCCCTGCAGCTCTGCCCCCCTGAGCGTCCTCTCAGGGTGAGGAAGACCCAGGCCATGCCCGCCCTTGTCAGCCGTTCCAGCAGTGGGGTGGAGGGCCGGCAGAGTGCTTGAAGGGTTGTGGACATGTTCCGATGAGATGACAGATGCCATTAGAGGTTAGTTTGACCCTGGGTGGGGAGGGGGCGACAGACTGGCCTGTACTGTAAGTCTTTGCTTTTGGGGCTGCCTGGTACCCAGCACCAGATTTCCACACTGGCTTTTTCCAGTTTTGCAAAACTCTGTGCTCCAAGTTTCCCTTGTATTCTGGCTTCTCCAACCCATCGCCTACCCACCGCCCCCTGCCCCGAAAGCAGATCTGTAAGTTCTGTGAAATTTCCAAAGAAGAATTGAACCATTGTTAAACTGTTGAAGCTTTTGTTAGGCAGATTTTATTAAGGGACTGGACTCTCACAGGTTTTTCAAAGAGGCCAGCTAAATTTTCATCAGCCCTGCTTCACCCAGGCCTGTGGCTCCCGTCCTCAGGCTGCCTCTCTGTCTAGACCTGTCCCCCCACAGAGGGGACAGGAGCAGCCATGTGATGGCCCCAGGCGGTGCCACGGAGGGGCTGGCAGGTCGCTCATGCTGAAAGAGGTGGGAGTGCCTTCCCTGGGCTGAGGCTTCCTGCCGGAGTGGGAGGCCACGAGCCAGACTCCCAGGGCTGAGCTCCAAGTGTGTAGAGCCATAGGCCCCAGCCCAGACCCAACGACCAGACCAGCCTGCTCTCTGCAGAGGACACTTAGCTGGAGAGCAGCAGGGACCACACGGTGTCCGTGGCCTCGCCCTTGGTTTCACTTCATGAGTCGATTTGCAAATGAGAGAGAGCTGGTCTTTGTCAGAACCATTTTAAAGTTACCAGGAAGTACTTTTCTACTGTTGGGGTGCCAGAAAGACCCTTTTCTCCCCTGCAGGAGCAGAGCTCCGCAGAGCCTGTGGGCTTGCCGTGGCTGTCACTTACCCTCTGCTGTATGTCCTCCTGCCTGCAGGGGGTGAGAACATCAAAAGCATAAATCAGCAGTCAGGAGCCCACGTGGAGCTGCAGCGGAACCCCCCTCCCAACACCGACCCCGGCCTACGAATATTCACCATCCGGGGCATCCCTCAGCAGATCGAGGTGGCCAGACATCTCATAGATGAGAAAGTTGGCGTACGTACACGGCCCTTTCCCACCTGGCTTACTAGTAGCTGGGTTTCTTTTGGATGTCCAAGGTACCTGTTTTTCCCCAGAGCCTTGTACCTCCTGTGCCTTCCAGTCCTCATACCACATGAGGGCGACCCCCTCCCACTTTGCCAAGGGGGAAGGTCGGGGCCCAGGGACACCAGGCCCAGGCCCAGACGCGATGAAGGAAGCCCTCTGGCAGAACTCAGCACGGCCACCGCAGCTCAGGCCCCAGAGGCGAGTCCCCTGCAGGCTTAGATGAGCAGCTGGGGCAGCAGCCTCCCCGCCGGCCCTGGACTCCTGCTGGCTCGGCCCTGGCGGCAGCCCCGCAGGCAGCTCTCATTGACTTTGGCTTTAGTTTCAGGCACCTCAAAGCAGATAAAGAAAGGGAGTGTTGATGGAGGACAGATTGGCCACTGCTCACCTCAAAGGGGACGTAGAATGGCAGAAAGCCGTGGGCCAGCCTAAATTGACGGGAGAGTCAAGCAGGTTGGTCCCTACCCCCAGGGTGACAACGCCAGGGCAATTGTGGTGGTGCCAGTGTTGGCTGTGGTGGTATTGGTCACTTGGGGCAGAGCCATTTCTGCACATACAGTCCCCTGCGGGGAAGGAAGGCTAGTGTGAGTGCCATAGGGCCCCTTTACTTCACCTGACTCTGGTTTGCCTTGGGGCGGGCCCGGGTGAGGCGTGGCCGACAGAAGTGAGAGTTCCCTCTGTGCCCATGACAGGGTGCCAGTCTCGGAGCCTTTGGACAGAGCCCCTTCAGCCAGCCACCTGCCCCACCTCATCAGAAGTGAGTCTCTTGCATGGGTCTTGCCTGAGGAACTGGCTCCCTCCCGGGGGGTCCCCCTTTCTAGCTCCTCCTAGGGTGTGCCAGCCCCAGGCCTCAAGCTCTAGCTGTGGTGGGAGCCCTCTGCTTGCCTAGTACCGGGGTGAGAGCCCTCCCCCAGGGCAGAGGGTCTTCTGGTCACTGCCTGCGTCCCCATGCAGAGCCGCCTGGGGCTGGAGAGGCAGGGCCTGCGGGAACCTGCAGGGGGTACTCAGGCCACTGCCTCGCCTCTTCCCTCAGTGCCTTTCCTCCGAGGAGCTCAGGGTGCTTCCCCAGCATCGCTGCCAAAGTGAACGGAAACCCCCACAGCACCCCTGTGAGGTAAGCGGGCCTGCCCCTGCTCTCCACGGGGTTCTCGGTCGGGCCGCCACCTGGCCACCGTCAGCAGGGCCCACTGTGCTTGCCTGGAGTGGGGGGTAAAGAGAGACTGTGCTGGTGGCGGCAGGGGGCCCTGGCGGGGAGGAAGGGGTGTGACCCACACGCAGCAAGTGACTCTTTTGCCCTCCCCAGTGGTCCTCCGGCCTTCCTGACCCAGGGCTGGGGCAGCACCTACCAGGCGTGGCAGCAGCCCACACAGCAGGTCCCAAGTAAGTGGCCTGGGAGGCGGTGGGACTGTGCAGCCCATGGAAATGCTCTCCCTCGGACTCTGACCCGGTGGGCCCGAATGCCCCTGCACGGAGATGTCAGGAACCTCCCTGGGCATGCGGGCCTGGGCTGGGGGCTCAGAGAAGCTTGGGAATGGGCAGGGGCCCTGGGCTGTCTCCTGGCCCACTCCTTCCGCACCTTCCCTTCCCTTCCCTTCCCTTCCCTTCCCATCTACTCCATGCTCAGAGCTGTGGGCTTCTGCCCCTCCGGTTCCCCAGAATGTGTCCGAAGGGCCTGGGGGTGTGGGTTGCCCTGAGTCCTTCCTCCTAGCTCCGCCCACAGCCCCGCCCCTCTGTTCGTGAACTGAGCCCCTGCTTGCTAGGTGTCCTTCCCACCCGCCCTCCTCTGGCCTTGGGGCGACCATCTCCCCTCCTCTCCAGCACCTCTTAGAAAGGGGCTCTTTCTATCTCCTGAACTTCCAGAAAGCACCCAATTGGAGAATTCGCTCTGGTGAATGATGCGAGACTTTTCTCTCCAAGAAAAGTCAAAGAAAGTCCTTGTTGGAACCGAACCCATTCCCTACACTCGTTCTGGAGTTTTATTACTGGTAGAGGCCATCTTGGATAGTCCCCCCCACCCCCACCCCCAAAAAAACGGCACAAACACCTTACCTGTGGCTATTTTGACCCAGTGAAGGGCTTGCCCACATCCTGTTTGGAAATCACCCTTCGGTGGAGCCACAGGCTCTTACTAGAGATGCGGGCTGCAGGGCCAGGCCCTGCAGCTTTGCTCACAAGGAACCAGCACAGGGTCTGTCTTGGGTTCTACCCCTTTGCCCTTGAGCAGAGTGCTGGCTGAAAAACCCCGTCCCAGGACACCTGCTCAGGTTCACCAGGGGGACAACACCCTGGGAGTCTGGAACCCGCGCTGTGCGGCCGGAGGCGCACCCCTTCTCAGAGGCTCCAGGGTTTGGATTTGATTTCTTCAGTGCCTGTGAGCTCTGAAATTGTGTGGTTGTATTTTTTTCCTTTTCTTCCCCAATATTATTTTTTTGAAACATCTTGAACACACAGAATATTTTACAGAACCTCGCCATGAGTGCCCGCACACCACCTAGAATCTGTCATTCCCATTTCACTTCATCCACTTTATCCCAGAGGCTGGCATGTTTTGTTTCCTCTGGTTCCAATGAGAGGGCATCCCCAGGGTGCAGAGCCACCTAGGTCAGGTTCACATGTGCCCCATTGTCCAGGATAGAAGACCCGTGAGACACCCTAGACTGGGGAGCATATATATGTCTGTATGTTGAAGCCTGAGGGCCACGTCCTTCCCCCCGGGGGGGGCTGCGGTCCTGCAGATGCCACGCCGCGCCGCCTGCCTCAGACAGGAGGAATGGGCGGGCGTGGGCGATGCGTAAGAGAAAACAGTCAGGCCTGGGCTCTTCCAGTGACCAGCCTTCGTCTTGTGATGTTGGGCTTTATTTGTTTACTTGGGAGGTTTGGGAATTGAGGATCGGTTTTGGTCAGTGGAATCTTGTTTGGAAGAAAATCTTGCCCGCAGCTGCCGCATCTGAGGGAAGAGGTCTTCGTCTTGCCACTCACACTCCTTGCTCCTGCCTTCCCAGAAACCAGGTCTTTCTGTTCGCAGTGTCCAGGGCTGGGTCCGAGTCCCTTCCTGCCCCAGGGTAGGGGGAGAGGGGAGGTCTTCTCCCCTTTTTACCCCCAACCTGGTTTTTTTCCCAGCCCCGCACACAGACTACCCTTTTCCCCCCACATCTCTTCAGTCCGCAGTAAATTAACTGGCAGGGAAACGTTTTGCTGTGCAGCGTGTTTGCCTGCTGCAGACCGTGACTGACAGTGAAAAGACGTCAGGGCCTCAGCAGGCGGGTGCACGAGCCAGCCCCGACCTCAGCAGAACAGGAGGCCCCAACTTTGTCGCTGTGGCCAGGGCTCCCAGCTCTCTCCATTCCCCATGTGGGCCGCTGCTGCTCTGCGCCCCTTCCCCCAGTCTGCTACCAGTGCCGCACAGGAACGTACCACAGCCCCCCACGCCCACTCCCCTCCTACCCCAGAAGGTCGCAGGGTAAATTGGGGTCAGGGGGGTGTTGTGGGTGTCACCCCCTCGACTCTGTGCACCTTGCTTTATGCCCTCATCTTGAGCACAGTCTGGATGGTTTCCCTGCATGTTCCCTGCGGTTCTGCCTTTTCGGAGCTAAAGATCTCAGTCTTGGAGCAGAGGGGCCGGGTGCAGAGTGGTCAGCACCATGCAGGCTCTTTGTCCTGCTTGAAGGCTGATCCAGGGAGCCTCACATGGCAGTCACTCTGGCCCCGGGGCTCTTCTCCGCCTCAGCTCAAGCTCAAGTCCTTGTCTAAAGGTGTTTGAGAGTTTTCCTGCCAGTTGCCCTTAAGAGGCAACCGTCTGCCCAGCCCCATTCTCAAGGGGGTCTTAGTTGCACTGTTGCCCCTACCAGCCAGTGGGGAGGCCCTCTTGGGTGTTGACATGTCTCCTCCCAGGGCTGGCCTGTTGCCACCTTCTTCCCAGGCCACAGGGTCCAGAATGGGCTCTGGAGCAGCGTGTGGGCCAGGGGGTGAGTGAGTGAGTGCAGAGAGCAGGGAGCAGGGCCTGGAGGCGGCCAGGCTCGGGGCTGAGGCTGGGAGGAAGCGCGAAGGCCTGACTGCTTTTGTGTTCTTCGCGCAGGCCAGCAGAGCCAGCCGCAGAGCAGCCAGCCTGACCACAGCAAGGCCTGGGAAGACTATTACAAAAAGCAGAGTGAGTGTGTTGGCCTTCCCAACAAGCAGGCCCCCCGGCACAGCTCCAAGCCTGTAGACTGAGCTGTCCATGGTTCCCTGTCACCTTTCTTTCTAGTGCTTTCCTTGTGTCTCCATCCGATGTCTGTCTCCGTCCCCCTCTTCCCCCGCGTGTCTGTCTGGTGAGAGCATTTGCCACCCACCTCCCTGTCGGAGTTCTCCCCCTCTGGACTCCAAGGGGCCTGGAGGTGGGCATGGCACCCCGACACGGGGACAGCTGGCCCGCCGTGGCCAGCCCCTTTCTGACTGCTTGACCAGGACTCAGCCCAGCCAGGCAGCCTTTGGCTGTCTTGCCACTGCCCAGCTCTTCGTGGTCATTTCAGGGCAGGTGAAGGGAAAACTGGAGAAACTCCAGGAAGGGAGCCTGGGTGGGAATGGGAGCTGAGGTGCCTGCTCCGCTTAAGCGCATTTTCTTCAGGACTGGAAACCAGACCAGCTTTAAAAAGAGAAGGGAAAACCTGGTTAACAACTGCCCAAAAAAACAAGCGAATCATTTAAATTAGTCCTAAATCCTGTGTGTGTGCCCCAAACTACCAAGCCTGAATATTTGGGTCTCATTGAGAGCGGTGGGTGGGTGGATGGGCTCTGGGCAGAGAAACTCCACCTTCCGTTTGGAGTCATCACCTGGTCAGTAGCCTTCTGGAGGCCGGGTGGGTGTCACGGAGGCCATCATCGTCTGCAGCACCTGGTAAAAGCCCAGAAGCCCTGTCTTCCCCAGACCTTCCACATCCAGGGGCCCAGACACGGGCGCCTGTGCATCCAGCCTCCACAGAGTGGCCACCTGCCCAGGTGCACACATGCCCCCAAGCCACTCCCCACCCCCTCCCTCTCTCCCTGTCCGCTTGGGCACTGGAAGCAGCAGGTGCGGAGACCGTGGTTCTGGAGAAAAGACACACTTGGGCTTCTCAAGCAGCACCAGCTTCACTACGCCCAGAGGCAGAGCCCACCAGGCACTTGTTCCTGATGTCCCAGATCTTGGGGATGGGATCCTGCCAACTCACCGTGTCCTTTGCCAACCCATACATATCCCCGCCCCCCCTAACCTCTGTTTCCCTTTGTCAATCAGGTCACGCTGCGAGCGCCGCTCCCCAGGCCAGCTCCCCACCCGACTACACCATGGCCTGGGCCGAGTATTACAGGCAGCAGGTCGCTTTCTACGGGCAGACACTAGGGCAAGCCCAGGCCCACAGCCAGGTCTGTAGCCAGTCAGCTCTGCTGATACCTCCCAGACCAGCCCCAACCCACTTCTCTCAAGCCTGTGTGTGCCCAATCTGCAACAAGAGCGCTGGGTCTGGAGGAGCGGCTCGGGCCCCAGCGCTGCGCAGAATGGCTGCTGTCCCCTGAGACCCCCCCCCCTGCAGCCCCCTGGCCCTCCTCGCTCCACAGAGAGCAGGTGGAGGCCACTGGAGAGGAACTGGTCAGGCAGCCCCTGCGAGGATGTCTCCCTCAAAGCCAGGCCCCAGGCCACGGTGCTGAGTGGCTCTCAGTTTTTCCCTCTGGGTCTCAGTTTGCCTAACTAGAAACTTAGGTGATTCTGGGCAAGCTTGGCTCTTCTAGTAGGGACTAAGAAGGTCCCATGCCACTGCTGCTGTTGAAGAGGGTGGTCTCACCGGGCTGTCACCTTACCCCTAGTCAGCAGCGAGGAGCAGCCAGGGGAGGGCACATTGCTTGGTCCCACACAGAAACCTGGAGGGCACTGTCCACCCCAAGGCCACAAACAGGCTTCTTACCGACATAGAGAGGAGGGCAGATGCTCCCACGGGGCACATTCCAGGTGACCTGGTGGCAGTCTGGTCACCATGGACAGCGTGTCAGTCACCACAGGCTCGGAGCCCAAAGCTGGAGGCTCATCTCGCTGCGGCCTGGGCCCAGCAGGGAGAGGCGTGCGGGCTGGCGGGTGGCTGAGAAGTACCCAGCCCGCTCCCTCTCCACTTGGTAGCCCCTGCAGGAGGTGCACCATGTCCCCTTTGAGAGAGGGTTGTGTCTGGGCCCCACCCCATGACCAGAGGCCCAAGAAGGTGCTGAGACGTTTTGTGTTGTTGTCTGTTGTGGAGCCGGCTGGAGAGGGTGACCTGTCGCCTCCAGTGACAGAGCCCCAGACCCGAGACTAGGCCTGGGGAATTTGCCGTCAGACTAATTTCTCTCTCCTTCCTTCCACAGGAACAGTAGGACATGACCTGCGGCTCGTCTTCCCCGAAGACCTTGTGAGCAAAAACCTATTTGTAACAGAGGTTTTTAGATTTGCAAACCTTTTGATGAAGAACCTTTGTTTTGTTCTGTGAAACACTATATTTAGATTAACAGAATTTTTCTAAAAATCGGGAAAATTAGTTACTAAAAATTGCTGATAATTTTTGTTCTATTATTTTTGTTTGTTATTTCAAACATTTAAGCTCTGGGATTCTTTGCAGAGCAATAACCTGCAAATCCAGGCATCAGAATGTGCCTCGGAGCAGTGACATTTCAACATGGTGTGTTTTCGTTCTGTTTTGTTTTGTTTTGTTTGCGTGTCTTTTTATTTACAGTTTTTCTGTTGCAACAGAGAGTGGCTTGGAAGTCTTAGGTGGTATGTAACAAATTCTTTTTAAAAATTTTTAAACAGTATTTAAATATTCTTAAATGTGTAAATTCATTAAATGTTTTACTTCTAATTTCTTATACCTTGGCTGTCTGGTTTTATTGCATTTTTTGAAAAACTGAACTATTATGTATTGTAATTAATTATGTGAATTCTGAATTGAGACAGATAATTGCTGTCAAACAGGGATTGGGAGGGGGCATTTTATAGGGTTTGTATAATTTCTAGAGTTCTAAAGGGGTAATATAAAAATGTGTTCATGTGTTTAGCATACGTTTTTTTCATGTCTCCATTACTGGTTCCAAATGTGTATCTAAGACCTCCAAGCTTGTTTTAAAAAACAAAACAAAAAACCTTTCTCTATTCTCTCAGAAATATAAATACTGTTATTTTTAATATTAAAAAGAAATTCAGTATAACTTTTAACAAACACTGTGGAACATTAAACTGCATAAAAAGGTAGTAACTATTTTTTAATTCCAAGGTGTTTCTTGCTTTTTTTCTTTTAAATATTTTCTTAATATTTGCCAGATTAACTAGATGAATGAATAAATCTAGTTAGTATTAACCACAATATGAATTAAATAATTTTGGTTTAATAAAAGGGATAATATGATTTCCAATGTTTACTGTAGTGTATCTTGTACAGATAACATGTATTTTTAAAGGAAAGAAAAACGGAATCGAAGCTATTTTTTCTTGCATTTTTAATTGATCTGAGGGACATTCCGTTTGAAATGTACTGACGTTACAGTTCTGGTTTTTCTCATTCTCTTTATAATGCTTGAAATGTCTAACCATTAAAAAAGGCAATTGGAAAATGTTATGCATGTTTTTTTTTTAAAGCATTCTTTTTATTTGACTGACAATTCATTTTACACTCTATATAATAAAATTTCCACAAGACTTCTTGTGGACCAAGTATTTTTAGGCCGTTTGATTTTTCCATTCGCTTACTCCTCCCTCTGCCCCCTGTCCCCTGCCACCTGAAATAAAAAAGCCGGGATTTTTGCAGTTCTTAGCTAATCACCTTGTACTACATCAGCCAGACTTTGTTGGTGCACAGCCCGGGCTTCTAGCTACTTCGTTAAGCTAATTTTATATGAATGGGCTTGTATAATTTGACAGTTTGACTTGAGAGGTTTTGTTACTGTCAGCCCCTCTTACCTGTCACATCTAAGCATCTCTTGACCGTGGTTGTGACACGGAGAGGTCAGTAACGCGTTTCCTGTGCAGAGGTGGGGCTGGAAGACTCACTTCAGGGAGTCACAGTGGAGAGGCATTAAGAGGCAGCAGCCAGCTCGCAGCCAGATGGGCCTGCGTTCTGTGACTGAGTCGGCACTGCTTACCCGCTCCCTCCACGCGCCCCCACACCTCCTCCCCCACAGGTGCCCCCCCAAGAGGTTAGGACCTAAGCCTCCCTTTGGTCACTGCCTGGCACATCTGGCTACCTCGCCATTCCTGGTTTCCTGGTGTGTATCTCTGGCTGCAGCTGCCCAGGCCCCCTCCCTCCCTCTGCCGGCACTCAGCCTGTGGCCCTGCGGTGGGTGGCATTATTCCCTCAGCCCTACGCCTGCTGTGGGGAAGTGCCAGCAAATGTGCTCATTTTGTTGTGTTGTTTTCATTAAGGAAACAGAAAGGGGGTGTCCTTGCCCATGGCTTTAAATCGTGGAGGGTCCTGCGCTTTCAGGACACGATGGTGGAGTGTGGAGCCCGGACTAGAAGGATATTGTGGAGGAAAGATGAGCCTTTGACTCCTTTTTTTTTTTCACTCCCTCCTTTCCTGTTGTTGGAAGCAACTGGCTCCGAACACAGCTTTCTTCTTTAATATTTAAATATCCCTTGCCTTTGCCGGAGCTTTACACGCAAGTCATCAAGTCATCGAATGCAGGCAGCCCTGCGCAGAGCCCTCCTCACGGCGCGCGCGCGCGTTTCTAGTTCTAGCCCCTTTTCTTTTCTCTACCCTGAGCTCTTAAGAGGAGGGGAAAGAAAGCAGCTGTGGCTCCTCCGGGCCGAGAAGGGGTGTGGAGAGCAGCCCATCTGCAGCCCTTCTGAGGCCGGAAGACAAAAGGAGATGTGGCATCTTTAACTACACCTCTAGAGAATCGAGTTTGACGTTGAGAAATTGAATAGTAAAAGCCACTTGGAAAGTAGGAGGGGGTCAAGCAAGAGGGAGGCATAAACGCTGGTGACGGGAATGGGAACTGGGGCGAGGGCATTGCAGAGAGGACTTCCTTCTAATTCATCTTCCAAGCTCTGTGCCAAAACAGCATTTGGCATGGTTCACAGGGAGCGACTGTGTGATAATGAGCCCTAAGGTGTCCCTTAATTGAAGACTGAGCATTGCGGTTTGTGCCAAGAGTCATAAATGGTGCAGGCTTGCGGGAGGATGCATTTTCTTAAATGTATCGGTAAGTACAGATTAGCGCTTGTCCCCAGTGAAATGCCCATACTATAAATTATGGAAATCTCTCTGTCTCTGATGCAACCTTTTATTGGGGGTGGGGGCCCGGCAGTGAGGGGGGGGGGCACACAGTACAGCAGGAGGCAGGGGGGAAAGTTTGCAAGCATATGAAATTTGGCCTCATTAACATGGCGCCCACAGAAGATGGTTTTCATCAGCAGTCTGGTGTCCTGGAAGGCTAAAGTGCTTGAAATGTACCAAGTTCAGCGATTGTGTTCCATTAAGAAAGCTGCAGAGTCATCACCGAAAGGACAGTCTGTGTGTTTGGGGAGGTGGGGGGTGGAGTGGGTACCCAGTCTGTCTTCAGAACTGCCCCGCCTTCCTCCACGCGAGCACACTTGCTTTCTGCTGGCTGCCCATGTTCACTAGTCCGAGGACCCAGCTGGGCTGTTCCCAACACCCCAGAGTTTGGGCTGGGGGTGGGGTTCTCCAGCCAGCGTTCTCCATCAATACCCCTGCCTCTCATCAGGCAGAAGGTGCTGTCTTTCCCATGTCCCTCCCAAGTGGTCGCCATCCACTGGTGTCCTAAAGCCCCCACGTTGGGTTGGCTGGAGCACAGGTGACATGTTGCAGGGCCTGGTCCAAGAGGGCAGTTGGACACCGCAGAGCCTCAGCTTCTGGCTGCCTTCTTGTCCCCTACGGCAGCACGGTGTGCTCAGCCCCACTTCTGGTCCACTGGGGCCCAGCTGGAGTTTTTGAAGATTGGCTAATGCAAATGATCCTGATAGACTCTTAGAGATTAATGGCGAGAAAGTGTCTTGACACTGAATTCCGCAGGGGGTGCTGGCCCTGGGTCTGTGTTTTGTGCATTGGAAGGGGAAGTAAAGACAGCCCCCATCACTGAGCCATTGGAAACAGGAATGTTTGCTGGCCTTTGTCCTGAGGGCCTTGTAGGAGTGCCTGCCAAGGGAGTTCTGGCCCTTCCCAACCATCTCCTTTGAGGGACGTCTCCATGCCAAGGGAGGTAGACAGGGCTGATCTTCCCATTTTACAGATGAGGGCTCACAGAAGCTGAGGGACCTGCCCTCATTCACACAAGCTCGCAGGGGCCAGTCCTGTGCCAACTTCTGTGCCGCGCTTCATCTAGGGCTTCAATCGACAGCATCGTGGCTGCCCACAGGGAGCTCAAGGTTGAGTGGGAGACAGTGCAGTCACCACCAAGTGAGGTAGCTGCTATGGTGAGGAAACGGCCCTAATGGTTTTGGATGCCAACCAGAAGCCAGGCCCTGTAAATGCATTATAGTCAATTATGTTTGACTCCGTATTTGGAATCAAATTTGATTGCATATTCCAAATTTGCCTACTCACTAAAATTTATTTATAACTTTAAAATGAATACTTGTTGCACTTCTGTGGTCATTCACAGCCAAAAAAAAAAAATGTAAGTTGCCTGACGCACATGTTCCCGGTTGAGGCGAATAAGGCGACACTGCCTTCCTGCGCAGCTGCTCACACCAAGCAGTGTCCGGGCACTCTATTTAATGCCACGTTTTTTGCATTTTTGTGCTTTCTGTTGGCAGTTTCGCTGTTTAAATGCCCCCAAGCATAGTTGCTGTCCCATGTTCCCAAGTACAAGAAGGCTGTGATGTGCCTTATAGAGAAAACACACGTGTTGGATGAGCTTTGTTAAGGCATGAGTAACAGTGCTGTTGGCCATGAGCTCAGTGTTAGAATTACAATGTATTTTAAATAAAATGTCCTTAAATGGAAACATATCAGACAAGGTTACATACTGATTGGTTTATAATGATGTGACCATTGGTTCACTGGAGCCTAGCCCTGTATTTTCTCTGAGAGCAATGGTCCAGTATTCACTGATTCAAGTTCTCCGAATCTGACTTTACAGAACGCCACTCCTGAGCGTACAGGGAATCTGCCGTATCTTACTTTCCCCTGAGGGCTCATTTTCGAGATGAGGAAACAGGTCTGAATAGGTTCTTAGCCTACTCATACCATGGACATGTAGGTGGCAGAGCCCAGGCTCAGATCAGTCTGACTGCAAAACCTGCCCACTTTGCCCTCCCACGACAGACACGGCATGTGTGCCAGGGACATGTAGAGGGACCTGGCAGCTGCGGCCTGCCCGGAGCAGCAGAGGGAAAGTTTAAATGTTGCGCCACCGAAGCTTGGGTTTGAGTCCTGTCTCTACCACTCAATAGCTATGCGACCTAAGGCAAGTGATTTAACGCCATATGCCTCACTTTCCTCATCTGCAGGATGGGGGTAAGAACTACCTACCTGATCATGGGGCTGAAGTAGGATTCAGTGACGTGTATGGGAAACACTTAACACCTGGCTCATAATGAGCGCTCGTAAAATGGCAGATCCTAGAAATAACTGAGTCCAGGGCTTCTGACTGCTCCTGTGGCTTTTTCTGCTCCACTGTGAATATCAAGGACAGACTGTGTGATCTGAAAAATATGTTGGCCTCAACACCGATCCTCTAGCTTCTGGGCTTGCCTGGTCTGCCCAGGGTTCCACAGCCCCAGGTCCAGCTCATCGGCCCCCTGCAGTTTCGGCAGCTAGCCCGTTAGAACCATCCACCTGCGGCAGGTAGGAGAAGCCAGGACCCCCCACACATGCTGTTGTACGTGACAAATGTGTGGAGGATGTCTCTGGCCAGGGTTTGGGTGCACTGAGGCTGCTCAGTTCTGGCGCCAAAGATGACATTTAAAGAAACCCTATTCAGCACGAGACAAAGGACTCTGTGATCCTTTGGGTCCCTTCCTCTGGCATCAGATTTTTCCAATCTTGATTTCCTGGGGAGTAGGTGCTTTGGCCCCTGAGCAGGGACCTGGGTCCCACAACTGCCTCAGCCACCCCTCACTACAACCACTAGGCCGGCTTACAGCAAGCCCCAGAAATCCCCGTACCCTCTATCCACTGTGGTGTCTCTGGTGTTCTCAGAGACAGCTCTGTTTAAGAGAAGCATGACACTAAAGATTGGGGTGATGGGCTGGGTTTGCATGGATTTGTACCCAGGATTGATGTCATACCATTAGATCACCTGTCTTCAATGTATATGTCAAAAGGTTTGTCCCCAAACCTTGGCCTTTTCTTCAATCAAGGGGAGAGAACCGGGGAGTCCAGAGTCCTCACTTTTGTCCCCTGCCTGGAGGGCTGACTTCCTGGGTGACTTGCACAGGTCACAGCTCTTTCGACTTTCCCCTCCTCGGGAATTGGACCACACCAGTGGTTTCCAAATGGTGTTAGGCTAGGCTCAAGGGTTGCACTGTTGTTTGATTCAAATTCCAATAAAACACACTAAATATGTTTATACATTTTTAATGGTAATTTTTTTAAAAAACACCATGCTCTCAAGTTGTTATATGCTGCATTTCCATTTTTTTCAATCAGCTTGTTTCT